GTCCTTGCCCTTCTACTTACTGGCTTGGCTCTTTCGAAAGAAAAGGATTCGCTTCGGCGGGTGTATAGAGGATAAAGTGGCGATAAGGGGGCGAGCTACGGCAGCCTTAACTCGAACAAGCCACTCTAGTTCTGCCCCTGTTTCCACTACTGCTGCTACCTCTAAGAAGAAACCTCCCAAGAAGACCACGACGAAGGCTAGCAAGGAGCCCACCCAACCTCCTCAGGGAACCTCTTCACGGCCTGCTAAGAGAATGAGGACGAGGTCCTCTGCTGTTGAGACTACTCCAGCTCAATCCCCAGCTCTTGCTCCTCAAGCTTTCGCTCCTCCTCCTCCTGCTACCGTCGATCTAGTTGAGACTTGATGATGGAGAAGAAGAAAATGTGCAAGAAGAGATGACCCCCTCTGCTAGCTCTAGAAAACCGCTCTGTGGACGACCCATCCGTTGTCAAGCCTACTGATTCATCTGGCACAGACGTTAGCCCAGTCGCGGCCATTCCCTTGTCAGGGTGCCCTCTGCCACTTTCTCAGGTTTGCTCTACATCTCTTCTTAGATTTTACTGCTAATCAAATGATTGCCACTAACTCAATGCTATTCACATGCAGAAATCGCTTGCCCTTCGGCCCTCGCTAGCTCTTCGCTTGGTTGTACAAAGAGCATGCCCGAGGGGGCTACTACGCTCACCGCGCACTTGCATCACCACCTGAGCATCGCTACCGCTTCGCCCAGCTCCTAAGCCTACCACGAACCTTGGCACGAGAAAGAAGTAGAGCTTTGCTAGTGAATCTGCTCTTTGAAAGCTTGAACGTGTCCCGTCCCTCTTTCTTTTTGAATATGCCACGCGATTCGAAATGATTAGATATTAGATGAAGGGGAACAGCCAGAACCAAATGCATATTTTTCCTCCCATACCATAGAGAAAGAGGAAGAACTTATACTGATTGATGGATATTGATTGATTGCTAACAGATGTTATGAAAGAATTGTTCTAATATCCCCTTAGCTCTCACTTGAGAGTGAGGGGGTCTCAATTCTAACCTAATAAAGGAAAGGCAGAACCATAGCCAATCACACATCTCGTAGCTAAGAGGTAGCTGGCGAAAGGCTTTAACTAGAAAGCTACGATTGAACTAGTAAACTAGCTGCCATTGCATTGAAAGAAAGCAGAGGGAAATTCCGTTTCAATTTTCATTAAAGTAGTTAACTTTCTCAAGTGAGAATCAAATCCTTCAATGCTCGGTACCAAACAAAGCAAGGTGCGTAGCGCTCTCTCTACTTCATAGTCATGTGCCCGTGGGAGGAGACTCGCCTTCTTCTTCTGAGATGGGATGACGAGAATATGCTCTGCAGATGTTTTCATTTCAGGAAGAAGATGTTATCAAGGAGCGAAGGGACGAAGGCAAGAGGTCTAGGTCTTTGCTGCTTGACTGCGTCAAAGCTTGAAGTGACGAATACGCAGCACTTTGATTGAATCAGAAATGAACTGATATAGCGGAGGAAGAGAAGAAGCTGTGTCGGTTCTTATTTCCCAAAGGGAGTTACTTTAGCTACTATTAGTCTAGAAGATAGAAGATAGGATTGGAATAGCATAGTCCTACTTCCTAGTCCTAGTAGTCTTAGTACTCACTACTAAGACTGAGACTGACTACCAACTGAAGTAGACTTACTTTTATCCTCGTTATAACATAACAGAAGCGGCTTCGTAGGACCTCTGTTCGCTAATCCATCATCGTATATGAGACTGACTTTCTTGCTTCTTTAAGACAGTACACCAGTACTAGTTTGAAACCTGTCCGCTGCCTCACCTTAGGAAAATTATTCCATATAGGAATGAAGAAAGGCCATGATAGGAATGTGAAATGACTGTAGGGGGAATGAATTCTTTCTTCCCTAGCAATTAGCAGAGCGAGGGGAAAGGATAAAGGGTGCGTAGTTCTTACCCGCTTTATCTAGTAGGTCTTTCTTGAAGGGGAAAGAGATATCAGTTTAGGCTTTACTACGTGATGATTTTATTGAAAAAGTCCATCACACTTTTGTCTCAGCGGAGGAAACAGCATATTTAGATGCTGCAGATGGGGATTGCTGAAGCGAAGGGTCCAGGAAAGAATGCACCGAGAGGTAGAAGACTCACTATCTGTTGTTTACGTCCTGCGGTAATCAAACATCGCCTCTCGTAGACATTCGCGTTCCTGTGCGGTTATCAAACGCACTCGTATTTTGGGGCTTCCCCTTTTTCAATCACCTCCCACCTTATGGAAAGCCCACTGCTGAATACCCTCAATCAAAAGGTCAAGGAGATTATATAACCCCATAGTATGAAGAGCTGCTCGGGGGATCGCACCCCTTGGCCTAGGGTATACATTCAGATTTGGAGGCATACCTAATTACCGATAAGAGCAGAGATCTCCTCTCTCCTTCGGACCCTCTACCTCTACTTCCCTTCCGCTCATAAACCGCCTTCCAGCAAGGAGAAAGAGATAAAGAATCAAATTATCAAATTCCCGTGATAGTCCAATCTTTAGATTGAGAGCCCCGCCTTCTTTTGATTCTGAACCGTTCGAAAAGCACTGGATTGGCGCATGTCTTCCTATGAAATCGATTCTGTTTCAAAGCTTGACTCAGCTGACAGAAGAGAAGGGGAACCGCCTGGAGGCATTTAGAACTTACTAAAACCTGCTTTTAGATGTTATTTTTACAGTAGACGAGACTGCACAACATCAATCTCCCGGCGAAGCACCGATTCCGGTAAAGTAAAGGAAAGGGCGGAGCCCACTGCCTTACTAAAAAGCACGAAGCATAGGACCATATTTTTAGAATTATCTTTACGTTCCGGACGGAAGACAAAAGCCGGCGGATCTAAGAGATCAACAGCAGTAAAAAAGTAAGAAAAACGAGCTTTACAAAACCACTCCTCATACGCAAGCAAAGCAAGAAGCCACTCACGAAGGAGTGTGCGCTCTCCAATACGTAAGCTACCCTCATCTAACTTAGATTGGATGTCTTCATAGAGACGTTTTCAATGAAGCCCCAATCGGGAGAGCAAGCATCGAGAAGCATCTGGCGACATTTCCATGTGAAATATCATCAAAGGCATCGACCTCCATTTTCCACATAAAGGATCTTTCCGCTAAGAATGATAATCATGTTATATCTACGCCATGATATCAATCAGGTGGTTTAGAACTAAATTCATATGGGTTCATCTTCCGCTTCTGGTAGAGAAGTTGAACAAATGGTCTCTGAGCTTTCGTCCCCGTATCCCATTCTTGGCCTTCAGCCGGCTTTGATCAACCCATATCTTCTTCCTTTCCTGGGGCTATCCCTCTACGCTAAGCTGGCAAAAGAGCTTTGAGACTTCCCGCCCGAGGAGATAATATGAATCAATAATGAATGCGATGATCAAAGAAGCGGCTAGACATAGGTCAAAGGTACAACCGCTACCGCCAGTAGGATTTCCTTGCTTTACTAACGAGCTAACCTACGAACCGCTCCGTGGGCTACGCGAAGGGACGAGTTAAGGAACAAGAGTCAAAGACGACGTAGACGTCATACTACACAACACAAGCAAAGACAGGAGGCCATTTACATAAGGGCGCGCCTTACGTGCCACTACCAACCCTCGCAAGCTTGCTAGCCCTTCTTTTAAGCTGTGGAGCGTACCAACTTTGATTAACATCGAGTTGTATGTTTCGCTGCTGTCTAATGAGGCGCAGCATCGGTCTGGACTCTGGACGGTCTGTCCAAGGGACTGGATCCCAAGGCTCTTCTTAGTCTAACATGATTGTTGTAACCCCTTATTCTCTTCTAATGGGGGTTGCTCATTGCAGTGGAATTCAGTGACAGTCCACTCCTTAGGTCATACCAAGGTGCCCTCCCCTACCTATAGGGTTCCCCGTAACGAGGGATCCCATATAGGGGAGATCGCCGTGTCGGCATACCATAATTAGTGGAGGATCAACTCTTTGTCTAGTGAGGAAATCACGGGACAGCAAGCCGGTCACTAACGTAAATCTAAAGATTGATAACAGATTTGCACCTGCTAGCTCTGTAGATCTTAATTATATTCCATTTTTATCTTTATCCTTGGTGGGCATTCCCCCATCTAACCTTAATGGGACAGGGGTACTAGCAGGGAAGAGGGCGTTAAGTAATCGATATGAATCGCTTTACAAAGCTCTTTCTTTCCCTAATTCGTGTGTCGCCGCTGAGATGGCAGTTGTTCGAAGACTTGCCGGTCCTAATAGGATGATTAAAACGAATCTTATTAGTGGCAGCTGATAGTCTTACCAAGGAGTCGTGCATAGCCATCTACTTGTATGCGAAGGCTGTTAAGCGGTTGTATAGGAAGGAGGACTGAAAGCAACCTATCCCCGCCTAGGGGCCTAGGAAACCCTATCCACCAAGAATCCAATGGAACTAGATGCCAGAAGTGACTCGAAAGGAGAAGGTATGAAAAACTTCCCCAGGTGAAAGAACTTTCTATACATATCCCCGCTAGGAACGAAGGAAGGAGAAAAGAGTGGAGTAAGGGAAGCAAAAGACACTGTACCGACTGAAAGGTACATAGTTGCTTGACCGATAGCGAGAGGTACGGAGTGGCTCGACTGATAAGGAGAGGAAGGGGGCTTAGGCCAAATGAGGGCTCTTCTATATATATACATAAGCCCTAAAGTTGGGGGTAGATAGAATGATTATTGCTTATGAATCTCTAACACATGTGGGTTGCTCCTCCATAGCAAGAATGAGATCCTTACCTCAGAACTTGGGATGAAGGGCTTGTTGACTAAGACTGACTCCTTATGGCTTACAGAACAGGTGCTCCCAAGCTAGATGGATATTTGCGTCCCCAAAGAGAGTCATTTGATTCAAAGACTTAGTGCGCTCGCAGCCTATGAGAGAATTAATGCCCCAATAAGGCAGTAAGGAAGATGCACGATCAAAGAAAGGAATTCGTATATCACAGAGAAAGTATGTTCTTGATCTCTTAACCCCAACTGGAATGCTTGGTTTACAACCAAGTGATACCCCTATAGAGACAGGAAAAAGAGAAGCTGATGCTGGCAGACTGGTTGACAAAGAAAGATACCAGAGATTGGTGGGAAGATTGATATATTTGTCACACACAAGACCTGACATTGCATTTGCTGTAAGTGTCGTTAGTCAGCATATGCACTCACCCAAGGAGGCACATCTAGATGCTGTGTACAAGATCCTGAGGTATCTAAATGGCACCCCAGGAAGAAGTAAGGACTGCTATTCAAAAAGGCAAGCCAGTCTAGAAGTATTTACTGATGCTGATTGGGCTGGGTCTACTGATGATAGGAGATCAACTACTGGATACTGTACCTTTGTATGGGGTAATCAATCTGGTCACATGGAGAAGTAAGAAGCAAAATGTTGTTGCTAGAAGCTGTGCAGAAGCGGAATTCAGGGCAGTTGCCCAAGGAATATGTGAAGGCCTCTGGCTTCAACGACTATTGGGTGAATTACAGGTTGACTTAGAATTGCCCATCAAACTCTATTGTGACAACAAGGCTGCTATAAACATATCACTCAATCCAGTTCAACATGATAGAACCAAACATGTTGAAGTGGATAGACATTTCATCAAAGAAAAGGTTGAAGAAGGAAGAATTTGCTTGACATATGTCCCAACTAAGGAACAAACAGCTGACATCCTCACTAAAGGGCTTTCAAGACAGAATTTTTAAGATTGTATTGGCAAGTTGGACATGATTAACATCTATGATCCAACTTGAGGGGGGCAATATTATGGGATTTTTAGCAAACATTATTCTTTATTGTAAATAGTAAGCTTATTAGAATTTATTAGAGCTGATTTAGTGGCTTTAATCTAGGGATTTTTCTTCTCTCCTTTTCTGTATATATTTGCTGCTCCTGGTACATTCTTGATAAATGAAATTGGATGATTCAGACCACAATTTTCCTTTCCCAGGCTCGACCGGAGAGGAATGAACTTTATCGCTCGAGAGATAGGAAAGTCAGAGGCAGCAGGTCAGGGAAGGACTGAGTACCTTTAAGACTTGATAGAGATTGCATTGCCAGAAAGGAAGGAAGCGAGAGGAGCGGTGGAATGCCAACAGGCGTCTATTATTGAATTCACCCCACCCCTGACTCATTGTACTAGTTACTGCTATAGCTAGCGCTAGTGCTGTATTGGTGTATTGCTAGTGAACTTACAGAACGAGCTGTAAAGGTAGAAAAAAACAGATCAATCAAGAGATAGTGGTTCGGCCAAACATCTTTCTTTTTCCTAAGTAAGGACTAGGCTGTCGAGTAAGGATTGGCCGAGGGGGAAGGAGCAAAGTAAACCAATAGCAGTAGATGACGGAGCGTAACGGGAACTCTCCCATAGGGATCCGAGTTCCGCACTTCTTCTAAGTGACGGAGCGTGTTGAGACGGAACTAAGAAGTCTTATAGGTACACCCCAAAATTGGATCGGGAGTCAGGCGCAAAAGACCAAGAGTGACAAATGCGTACGGGAGCAGAAAGCGATGGGTAAGAGTTCCTACCCGAGTCACGAAAGCAAGAAAGAGTCCAATCCCGAATGTTCAGCCCAAAGGCAATGAATGGGGAAAGCGCAGCCTAATCTGACTGGCAAGCTGTTCTGAGACTAATCTCACTTCCTAGCCCGGGAAAATCTCTCTTCAGGTGCACTTAAATTCTTACGACCTGCGTCCTTTCTCCAAGTGAAGTGGTAAATCCACTGGAGCCATTAAGAAGTCATTACCTTTGAGACCTCCTAAAATCCATTGACTATGAGTGATGACGGTATTCGGATCCAACAGATACTGAGGAACTGTTGATATCGTCCAACCAGCACCCATATCATACAACTTCCAGATAAGACCAAACTTGAATATAGAAGAATCCAAATTTGATCTCCTCCAAGAAGTAGCACAAATAGGTGCATCAAACAGAGAGTCGATGGACACCTCTGGAGACAATGCCACAGTATGGTACCACGAGACCCACTTAAACCACTGCTTCATCCAATTGAACAAAACAGTACGAAAAAGTCTTTCTCGCTCACCATCAAACACAAGCTCTTGAGGGAAGAGCCTGATCTCCTTGGGCTTTAATTCCTTCTGGAGATAGACAACCATCTTCGCCTTTAGATATGGATTGAGAGGGTTTCCCCTACCAAGCCAAAATTCTAAAGGTAGTTGTCCTGACCTGAAAGGTTTACCCGCAACCGCCTTCAATCTGCACCACCTTTTAGATGTTGTAGAGTGAAGACGGGCCCGAACCCGATAGCCTGCACCAGCAAGGCGGAAAAGTCTATTTGTTGATGAAACATTATACTTTGCAGCCACCTGGCATAGACTAACGGTGGATTTACAGGTCCAAAGAGCCCTTAAGGATATCGGAGATAAGTCAACAGACATGGACTTAGTCCAATACCTCTTGGCGAACTCCATCGTCCCATTACGAGAAATTATAGATTTCGGTAATGAGATAGATACGTCCAGCTGCTCGAGGATTTTACTGTATTCACGGGCAACCTCCTCATCGGCGATGAGAATATCATCACCAGGGAGGGCATAGTCCCGAAAGGGGGAAGCTCTTTTCGGCTGAACTCTCCATGCTGCCAACCATACAATGTAATGGTGTGACAGCGCGAAAAGTGACCAAGAGCCGTAGTAACCTAAGGCCTGACCGGTCATGAAGGCTACCTCAGATATACCTTTTATGATTGGTTTAGTAACCAAAAAGGTATTGAGGCCCAAAGAACTGTTGACAATTGAAGATGCCAATGTACTACCCCAGATACATTCTAGAGTAGTATATATGACACTCAATGGCCAACGGTCAGTTGCTGATTTGAGGTCGAAAGAAAAGAGATTATCTCTCTTTAATTCTCTCAAACGCAGCAAAGGACGTTCTTGGTTGAATGTACCATCAGAGGGTAACCTCTTGAGGACGTTCATAGCCCAATCATGGACAGGACGAAGTAATCTCTGCTGTACGTAATTACATATAGCAAAGATCCTTCGTTTACCACTGCCCTCGATCACTTGACTCAACCTACCTGACGCAATTGGGAGACCCTTATATGCTCCTAATAAAGTAGCAAAATAAGGTCCGACACATCTTTCGAAGTAGTCGAGATCCCAATTAGCATACCAAGTATTCATGCGGTAGTCAAGAGGATATAAAACTCTCGGATACCACAGGATACCTGGTGAGAAGAAACCATCTTGAAGGCTATGAATTTTATTCACCTTGAAGATAAATGCAGCTATTTCGTGTTTCAGATTAACAAAAATATTCATTCTGAAACCGAGAATAGCGATTACACAATCTATCGACCTTTTCATCAACCGAAAAGTTCAATTTCGATCGAAGAAAAGAGTCTTGGATTGGGGTTGACTTCCAGGTAGGTTCCCAAGACATCCCCTTCACCAAAGGGATACTTGAGAGATCTGGTAGATATAGAGGTTGGATATCCTTTTAAGAGGTTTTGATCTCCTCAAGGATACCCCGCCTCAATATTCTGGTGAGGAGTAACAATACTAGAAAAGGTTGCCCGGGTAACCCTCGGAGCAACACAGATCAGTTTTGCTAATCCAAACCATGATAGATACAGTTTAACAACCATATCACCGTGTTCATCACGGCGCCATATTTTCTAAGAACAGCCGGGATTATACGGGGGATACCAGATCTAGTCAAGGATACAGGAACAGAGATTTGGTCACTTGGATGGTAGTTGCCAGCAGAATATCGCTGTAAAGCAACACCACACTGCTTCAAGTAAAGTGCAGTGGACAAGTAACCAGATTTCCGTTTTAGCTGTATCACACGTCGCACGAAGTGAACAGCCGCAAGGCTGACTTCTCTGGTAATGGACCTTAAAACTCGCATTCGCATGTTGGTTGTTCTTCACTAAACATCGAGGTTTCAGGTGAAAGTGAAGGTTCGGACTATAGTCTCGGCCTACGTCTTTTCAGGTCCGGTTTTCATTAAGGGGCTTCCTTCCTTGATCACGTGGTATGTACCAGGGACCTCACGTATACCTCTTCACCAAGGTATGACTTGGGAACCAACCTGGAAAGCAATACCGAATTGTCCTTACCTTACATCACAGTTGATTGAAGGTGGTGTCAAACCTCGGTTAGCTCGTTCAAAATCCCCTTTCTAGCTATTACCTTTGCCAGAGGATTTTTCATTTCTTTCTTAATCTTAAGGCCTCTATCTAGCTGTCTAACGCCTTTTCTGATCATTATATGGAAGATTACATTTGAATCATTAAACGTGACTTTTGAAGTCATAATCTCGCTATCTGCTGGGATCTAGTCCATGAAAGACCTCTCACTGGCTGTCTTGCCCACAGGATTTCTTAACCTAGTTTGCAGGAATTTGATGTTAAGTAAACTCCAAAGATAACTTTCAAATTGCCTTAGCTTATCAATTCAACTCTATGGTTAGCAACTGCCATCTAAATAACTTTTAGAACAGTATTGGTCTAACTGGCTTTAAGCTGAGCTTCTTCTGCAACTGGCTGATCGGATGGAAATAAAGAGGGAAGGACTTTTGTTTAACTTACAGACTGACCGCTAGAATGAAAAGAGGCTTGCGGAAAGGAATGCCTTAAAGAAAACTCCAGGCTCTATTCTGACCACGAGTGGCGTACTCGGGTATGAACCCGTCCTTGAGGTAATTGTAGAAAGAATAAGACCATGGTTTTCATAGTCCTCGTAATCTTCTTCGTCTTGACTGGTGATAGGTCATCATCTTCCAACTTTCGAGAGTCTTCATCCAAGAAGATGAATGAATCCCGTTCGACGGAAGGGCTATCTGTGGCTAGGATGTCCAATCTGTCGATGACAAGCGACTCTGTGCTTTTTTGGTGTACTAGCATGTGTACTAGAGCGGCTGAGTATTCATTCCATAAGGACTAGCGAGTCAGCCAAGCGATTGTAGATTCTCAGAACATGGGTGAAGATTCTCTCCCTAAAGCCCTTGATTAGGTCAGATGTTGATATGAGGAAAACCCTATTGGATAGAGTTTAAAAAAAGGCCTTTGGTACCTCTTAACAGTAAAATGAACTTATTAAACAACAGCAATCACAGCTTTCAAAATAGCAGAAATAGCTGCCTATTCCTTCACAATAACCATGGCATGAGATGTATTTTCCTTATTAGAAAGCAAACCGAAGCTGCTCTTACTGTTCTCGTAACCGTTGATGGAGGAATTACCGCTCTTACTCTATCCGCTGTTGGGACTGATTCCTTTCCTTCTGATGTGGACAAATAGACATAGACATCCGCTGTTTGAGAATGACTAGAAGAAGCTGCACATAACACATAAAGGCAGGGAGTAGCACTAGTCTCATCTCAGGGCATGCCCATAATCGGAT